AAAAAAATTGGAGCAGAATTTGAAAATAAGGAGAAGACTGCCTAGAATCCTAAAGAGTTATTAAACATTAATAAGACTTCTAAAAGATATATATTTAAATGGAACTTTGATGACTAAACACTAACCCCAGAAAGAGAAAGTGAAGAAGGAGAAAGTACTTAAAAGGAACAGCTTATTTGGATTGCTTGGTGATTTTGGAACTTTTGAGAACTATCTTTGATTAAAAGCACTTGGGTGGTTGTTTGGAAAAACTTTTTCTCTCTATAATGGCATCACTTGTGGATGGATTGAAACTTGAATATCAATCAAAAATATAAAAAAGAACAACAAGAAGGTTTTTTTTGGCACTCTCTTTCAATTTTTAGAAATGGCGGTTTGTACTTATTAAAAACTGACCGCGCAACAGGATGACTGGGATAAAGAAGAAGCCATTTTTGATGAACAAGTGACTTTAGTTGGGGAAGGAAAGGAGAAAGAAGAAGAGGAAAAGGGGACTTTAAGACTTGGAACAACAACCAAAAAAGAGAAGAATAAGGTGAAAAGGGGATGCTACATTAGAAAACAACAGAAAGGAGGAAAGCAGAAGATTAAAAGGGAGGTGGAGAGACAAGGGGGTAAAGAGGGCAAGGAGAAGAATAAGCAAGGGAGAAAGGAAGGGATGAGAAGTCTTAATGGTGGGGAGCAAGATGTAAAGAAACAAAAGTCTTTTAGAGATAATAGGTAAATTTTATTGAAAAAGGGATTCTGGAAAGGTACATAAGATTGTATTTTTATATTTGTATTTAGAAATAATCTTAGAAAATTGGAAATAATATGTAACTTAAAATGTGACAAAACATTTAGTGTAACTTAGTGAAGTTTTTGTCAAGAAAAAGAAAGCAATGAAATAAATGGGAGAATTGGTCTAGGAGAAGGGGGAACATTTCAATGAAACAATGATTTAAAATATGTGATGTGGGGGGGGGGGTGGAATAACTATGGAAAGCATAAGTGTTCCCATAAAGGCATGATATTTAATTGAAATGGGTAAAGTGGAGAAAGAAGGCAATGAAATAAACAAGAGATTTGAAGTAGGAGAAGGGGGAACACTCTAATGAAATGATGATTTAAAATATGTGATGTGGGGGGGAAATAACTATGGAAAATAGGGGTTCCCATAAAAGTATGATATTTAAATGAAAAGTAATGTGTTAAGTGTTTAAGATCTAAATGAATATTAATATTAACGAATAGATTTGTATTGGCATTGATGATATTGTATAATTTCAGAATGTACCAAACAGAATCCCAATGTAAGCTATGTATTTTATATTAAGTATTATAAATGTAGGGGAAAGAGACAAAGGCGTCATACTCCAAGTAGTGTACAGGATAAGTTTTGTTTAAAGAAGAAAGATAAATGGATAGCTGGAAACAGAACAGTCAAAGAATAATAAATATTATGATTTGAATCGAGATGAGATAAATAAAATAAAATTAAGAGAATTTAAAAGAGATGTGAAGCTATATAGAAAACTGAAAATGGTAATAAGATATGGAATGGTATACAAAATGAATATGAATTTGAATTTATGTCTATATGAAGAGTGGTAACCCGGGACTAAGCAACTTTCAGAAAAGATGTTTTTTATGTTTCTATGTTTTGTGTTTTTGTGTGTTTATGTTTGATTGAGTAAATAAAACCTTGGAGGAATGTTAGAAGAGGACAATTGAGAACAAAATATAGAAGAGAATAAAGCAAGTCAGAAGGAAAAATAAGTATAGTGAATAAAAACATATAAAATGGATAAATACAGAAAAGAAATATAATTGAGTAAAAGTAAAGGGAGAAATAATTAGAAACTTGAAAGGATATGTATGTGTTTATAAGGAGATGTGTAAATGGTATACAAAATGTTTTATTTGTTTTGTTAAAATTTACAAATAATTTTCAGAAAAGAGGTTTTATGTTCTTATGTTTTATGTTTTGTATATCTTTAAAAATTAATAAAATTTGTTCGAAATAAAACTTTTCAGATTAGACTAGGTTCATCTCTGGCAACCTTCCAAGAAAGCACAAGCTATAGTACATATATATATATTGAACAATGCTGTTGCCATGATTAAAGTGTTCTCAGGTCTTCATCTAGTATTATAGCCATGCTTCCTTTCTCTAAAGAGCTGTGGTGGCGCAGTGGTTAGAATGCAGTATTGCAGGCTACCTCTGCTGCCTGCTGGCTGCCTGCAATTACTCATAGGCTATGGAGCATAAAGTAAGACAATTATTTTTACTGTATCTACAAAGGATGATGCAGATACGTTTAAGGATTTACACATACTTTTTAATACAAACTGCTTTTAATACAAAATGCCAAGGTGGCATTGCCAGCAACAGAAACCCCACCCATTTTATGTGCATTGTGCATATATGTAAAAAGGGGTTAAATTGTTCCCTTGTGGCTATCACTTTGTCTTGTTGAAATCCTGAAGATACCCCAAGCAACAGAAAGTTTTAGAGAAGAGTTTGTGTCATGTTTGGAAAGAATTTCAACTCCATGTTAGTTTTGCTACTTTTTATCACATGTCCTCTGAGGGATTGTTTTCTGTTCCTTTAAATGGGATAATTTTCAGCCTGAAATAATACTTGAGGTACAGAAGAGTTTTTTAAAAATGTATTTGCTGAGGTAAGTAGTTTAGTTGCATAAGCTCTAGGATGTGGGTAGCTATACTTTTAACCCCAACAAAAACTGTAGCACCTTGCCACAATAAATTTATGGCAATGTAACTAATCCACACACAAGACCTTCAAATCACAGCTTCTTCATTAAAACTGTCTTGGCATTGATAAAAATATTTGCGTGGAACATAATTATTTGCCAAATGTACTTTTTTCCCCCTTTCCTTTGGATTAAAGTTGACTTCCCTATATAATCTTAAAATTGCTTAAGATTTTTCTGAATTTACATAGCGCATTGAAATGTGTACAAATGATGGCATGTATGAGTGCGTAAGAGAGGAGCAGGACACTTGTGGCTTTAAATATTTTTTGAACCAGTGTATCTGTAATATTGGGAATGCCCTGGATAAGATGCCTTGTAATGCCGCCTCTGTAGCAGTACTGCCTTTTCTGTGCTTGAAAGCCTTAGCTGCTCTCCGTATTTAAAAATACTGAAAAGTAAAAGATGTAATAATACCAGCAATATCTAATTAACAACAAATGGAAAATATGCAGCAATGGAGAAACGGTATATCTGCAAAAAAGTTGTTTAAGCAAATTCAAGCAAGAAAGGTTTCCATATATATTACATGTTACGTGGCAAAGCAAATACAAACATTTTATAACTGGGGGTTGGACTAGAAGACCTCCAAGGTCCCTTTCAACTCTGTTATTCTTTTGCTTCTAGTGAATAGTGTCATTTATCAGTTCATAAAGAAAATTTTAGGACACAGCATGCAGTAATTATAACATTGGTGCTGACATCCCACTTTTTAACTACAAGAAAGGAAGAAATTTTAGCTCATCTAAAATCAAGGTCAATTTTACTACTAAGCAGCATGTGTAGTTGCCTTGCCAACAAAATGCATTTGCTTTATAGAAATTAGCATATTTTATATCAATCTATTCAACCAGAAAGATACTTTAAAAAGAGCTATTTACTAATACATAGTAAGTATTTATATTATGTTAGATCTTTCCTTTCTCTTGGACAGAACATCAACAAAGGGAATGGTATTATTCAAGGAGATATAACAGACAGGTTCAACTGAAATTTATCTGGAGGATGCAAGATTGTGGATTATAGACAAACATTCCATTTAGGTAAATCTACTTGTATGAAAGCACACTTAAATTATTAATTCTTAATTGTATTATTGAAAGATATTTAATGTTGATGTTTTAGTTTTTTTTAAATTTAAAACCCTCCTCTCAACAAGTGTTTTTTTTTTAAAAGTAATGACTCAAAATAAAGCATCTATTCAAACACATTAAGAACTGTATGACTGATTTATAAGCATTCCTAGTCAGTTCAATTAGATAATCTAGCTCAATAGATTAGATAGCAAGAGTGAGAAAAATTCTACCATACATGCTTTCATTTAAAATAAAATTAAGAATTCATTATATCTAATCTTGGAAAAGATACATCTTAGGAAATTAACATTTCAATTCATGACTTGAAACCACAGCTTATAAAATGTCTTTTATTAAATGAAAAGAATCTGTTTTGTAGATCAAATATGAAATAGAATGTACAAAAAACTTTACATCTCTTCTGTCAAAGAAATAAAATACTATCTAGAATTAGCCTGCAGCCATTCCCTTCAAATACAGCAGAAAATAAAAGATTTTTTAAATGGCAGTACAGTAATACACAGAATAGCCCGTGTTTAAACTGCAATTATAGAGGTTAAATTTTAAATGGAATCTTAAAGAATACAACTAATCCATAAAGTAACAAAACGTGAAAGTCAATTATTACATTTCTCTTAGAAGCAAGCGGTGGGTACATGAAGTGCAGAATTCATAAAGCTTGCATACAGCCTTTCTCAGTTCCTATACAAATATAAAATGTTCCTGTAAAAAAAAAAAAACCTTTTTTATTCCTTAACATTTCACAATGAAGGAAATCATCTCATCTATCCGTTTAGCTTAATCATGCAATACATTCCTCAGATCTTTCCTTTTGAAGCTTGGTTCCCAAAGCTGTCATGACAATTAAAAAAAAAAACTTTCAGTTCAAAATTTTGCACCATTGTATAAGGAGGTTTTACAGAACTTATGTCTTTGGCATATCACACTGAATCCCTCTTTAATACTTTTCATTTTAAAAAAAGTATACATTCTTTTAATAAGTATCTTAAAAACATCTATTTCAGACCTTGCAAAATAATGCATTACACCTCCTGTGCGATTTGCAAAATATACACCTTTTTTGGAGGTGATGGGAAATACCCATCCATTCAAATCTTGAGTGGTTGCAAAAAGCTCAAATAACAAGCTCACTTCCGCATAAATTCAGTTACATAAAATCATTCAGTTCGGCTTCTAATGCTGCCGCCATTTCATCAGCCTCTGAGCTGCTACCCTCCTCATCTTCATTGCTCGATCCTTTACTTGATTCACTGGCAACATCATCGTCAGCTAGCTTTCGCTTGTGACCCCTGCAGGTACGGACACAGATAATAATTGTAATTAAAACCCAACTAATAGCTATAAGAATTTTGATCAACTAAGCTAAGTCCAGTGCTATTAGAGATTCTGTTACTGCAGCAATTGGCCTATGAATGCTGAATATAAGATCTTCTCCTGAAATCCCAAACAAGAAGTAGGTAAAATGATAATGTCTAATATAGAGTTTTCCCTGCATTGCTTACGAAGATTAAAGTGCTGAGAAGAGAAAGTGCCTCCAAGAATGCTCTCAGTTTCTCCCTTTTGCAGAAGGAAACTTCCCACTTAAGAGATGCTTTAGGAGCAATAGGGTAGTTTGATGTGAGATGAGCTGAAAAATGTTCAAAAATATTCAATAGAAACCAATGCTGTTTAATTATGAAAGTTTGTGTACCTTGAAACCTGAATGGTATTTTAAAATTCATTAGGGAAATAACAGATCTTCAAAGTAGTTATTTTATTTATCATATATAGAAACTTCTCATCTCCATCGCAGAATGATTGTATGAGCAAGTATCTGTATTTGTTTTTGATCTGTTCAACATTTTGCTGATTGTATCCTAGTTTTTCGAACTACGTTCTACAGAACATTTGGGTTTTCTGAGAATTTGACAGGATTCTGTGAGAAACTAAGTCAAAAAAAGAAAGAAAAACAACTTCAGCTGAATGCAGCCAATTTTTTTTAATCACAAGAGGTTTACCTCTTTATCAGGGTTCCAAGAATCAAAAAACAGTCAAGCAAATAAACCACTTCTGTGGCATAAAGCTTCTTGCTACAGTATAAACTATTTATGCTCATTTTAAAATCAGAATTTTTTTTCCACACAAGTATAAAAGCTTTCTATGCTTTATAACATCAAGCACTTGACATTGATTTCAATATTACACAGAATTAATTCTGATGAAATTGTCTCCAAAATATGATTTATATTTTAAGACAAGGTCAATAGTTAGAATGTGTAAGAAAGTAAAAATGCACTAAAATTTCCTGAATACTTGGATCCCTGTTTTGGAACATTCACCTCCCTCCCCTCTCTCCCTCACCTCCAAGATTCACCTGAAAATACTTTAATAAGAAAAATAATAGTTTGGGTAAGGACAGTAATTTTAGATGGCTCGGGTGTGCATACCAGATAAAAATCCTTATTAATCTTCTCCTCAAAGAGAACAATTAGAATTTGACATATTATCACAAATGCATTTCACCTGGAATACTTCTGCTAAAAATCCATGGTCACAGGATCAGAAAGAGGCATTATCAAACTCTTAAGTTTACTGTTCTAAGAATTTTTCCATTATGTTTTTCAACAAAAACATCTGACTAAATCATATCTATATGAATGTATAATCTGTATCAAGACACATACATTGTATTTCTGCGTATTTACAAATATGTATATGCAGATTAGTTTAAGATGCTGGGCTTGAAAGCTGAGGTTCAAGGCCCTAGTCAACTACCACGAGGTATTTGAAACCATGGCCCAATTCATCACAGATTTTATTGCTATCAGGATAAAACAAGGGGAAATTCCGATGAATTTCACCTTGAACGCTGAAAAGGTGGAATATGAATGCAACAATAATGAAGTAAAATGATGTATCCTAATTGTATTTACTATGTAATACAGATTTAGATGTCTTTTATTTATGTCTTTTAGATTTTGTATAGTTTTTCTCTTTTTAAGATTGTAAACCATCCAGAGTTACCCTGGAGTAAGATAGGTGGCCAATAAATTTTACAAATAAACATATGTGAACAAGTATTTTTACAGAAAATCCTCATTTACTGACCACAATTGGAACCGGTTTGGATTACAATTACAATCCAATTACATTGAATTATAATGAATATGAACATTGGTGACGAAGGGATTACAAGAGGGTATGTAGGGACACAATGAGGAATAGTGGTGCTTATTCTCCTGTAATTTTTCCTCTCCAATCTCTCCACTCTGCAAGGATGGGAAAAACAATAGGTCAGGCACAGAACAATGAAAACTGATTGTAATGGTGATCACATGATTGTGGGACACTGCAAATCTCATTAAGTGTGGGTATCTTATTTTTTCAGCACTGTCATAACTTTGAACTGCTAAATGGGCAATCAGTCAGTGAAACCTTGTACTTTTTCAATTCAATTTAATATTTATTTTAATAATATTGATAAATGGGAATATAATGAACATGATGCACCATTTTCATTTTTTAGTCCATTGGGCAATTTGAATGAAAAAATGTGAAAGTTGTGTGTAGAAAAATTAAGTATAAACTTAATTTTAATTAAGTAGAAACTTCAATATTTTTCACCACTCTCAATACTCCAACTTAGAATACATTGCACCAGATGTAAATGTTTGCTTCATTAGAGAAGCTCTAGGTAGAAGGAACCTGTCTGATTGAAACCTTGAACATTTAGTTTGATTTACTCTTGCTGTGGAAATGTCTGGTACCACCATTCTTAGATCAAAAGAGCTGTGAAGCTTTCAGAAAGAAGGTTATAGATGTCTATGATTTTGGAAAGGGATTCCAAAAGATTGGATATCAATCATTCCACTATCCAGAAGAGCATGAGTCTACCATTAGAAATAAGCTGCATAAAATAGATATACATTGGAAATGTGCCAGGGGAAATCCTTGGCTGCCTGGAAAAATTTCCCTTTAAACCAGAGCAAGATTCAAGTTTGTTCAAGAACACCTAGCCAAAGAATTTCTGGAACGATGTGCTCTGTACAGATGAGGCATTATTGGGCCAGAGTACCAGAAGTTCTGTTTGGTGAAAACCAAGGACAGCATTTCATTAGGACAAACGATACTATCTGTAAAGCACAGAGGTGAAAATGTTATAGTTTGGGGCTGCTTTGCTACATCAGGGCCTCAGTCTTGGCCATCACAGAATCTATAATGAATTCTTCCTGGTACCGTAGGGTGGTTCAGGATGAGACCAATGGTCATGAGATTGAGGATCAATCAGAAGTGGACCTTATGCATAACAATGAGATGCCAAAGGGGCAACCCCAGGTGAAGCAAGGGTGAACTTCAATTTTCCAGAAAAGGAAATGGCATAGTTTAAGTAAATGATTACACGTCCATAGCTTTTTATTGAATTGCATCATCTTTATATTAATAAAGATAACATATTGATTTACCCACATATGTTTATAAAAAGAAAAAAACTTTGCATAGGGTATACTTTTTCACATGTCTATATTCCTTTTTTTTTTTTTTTTAAAAAAGGAAGAATACATTCAGTGTAAAACACCACCTCAGTTTTAGTCACAGCAAAGAAAAGCAAAGAGGATGGTGGAGCCATGGAAATACTATACATTGCTACTAAGCTCATATATAATGTTGACAGTAAAAATACCTTGACATGGCAGTTAAAGGAAGTTCTGTATATTTCTTAGTCATAATCCAAAGTGCTCAATAAAATGACTTTTAAATATCTTTTAAGGCAGCAGTTCCTAAAATCCCTGAATATAGCCAGATTTTTAATGCCATGGTTTTAAGGTAAAGAATAGCCGCTTTGAAATATACGTTTTGGAAATTAATTATTTTTAAATTTCACTTATCTGTCTCTACTGATTTAAATTTGATTTTTAATTATTGTGAATTAAGTGTTAATCTAAATATAAATTAAAAACTGATTCTGATCTGGTTTCCTAAATAGCAATAAGAGCTCTAGCACTGCTGACTTCTGAGAATATTTTATATAAGGTTTTCTGCAAGCTCCTCATAATAGCACATTTTCTGTCAACATCCAGGATTATCTTAATACATGCCTACTGGCATCTTCTATCACTTTATAGTTTCTGGAAATATAATTAATCCAAATAACAGCTGTGCCAATTAGATAGTACACTGGAGTGAAACACAAGCTGGCAATTGATTGAAATTCTTTCATTGAATATACTTCAGATAATTTGTATTGTGTTTTTCATATAATACAAGCAACTCCTGAAAAAAAAAGTCTTCGTCTATCTTTATGGAACTCCTAGAATTGCTTTTACTGAAATATTCTCTGAAAGTGAATATAAAATTAGTTTTGTACTTGGCAAATTTGTATCTATTCCTGCTATCTACAGGGCTTTACCTGGTATTATCTCATGATAATTCATTGATCTCTCTGCTTCTAAACAAGCTGTCATGTTTGTCTCTGATGAATAGAGTTTGATACCTCTTCAAGGTCAGGTTTTGCAAGAAATAGTGGCAACTTAGACAAATTATCATGGAAGAGGTGGTGACGACCACTTTTTCTAAAGAAGACACAGCTAGAAATAATGGTTTTTCTTTTGCAATTGATAGATATACAGGTGGGGGGGGGATCATAAATTCTGTTATTGTATATAACAGCAGCGAGATTATCACATGTACTAATAAATAAAGGAATATTTGGTGAAGATGATGTAGGTTGCTGAGATAGCTAAATTGTCTCCTTTGACAGAGAAAATACTATGTTTATTTTATTGCTGATTAGAAACTCCTTATGGACTTTTCACATTAAAAGAAAAAATGAACTTATGAAAGAAGATAGTTGTTGGAATCAAATAATTAAAGAGTTTTATTTATATGTGTAAATTTATAATTGTACTTAAAATTGCTGTAAAGCAGATCAGAAACCACTTTGTATTTTTTCTTTTCTATTTTTCTTTTCCTTCCTTTATTGCTCTTTTAGCTTTTTTTCCATTATGATTTCTTTCTTTTTATTGTGTTACTTTATATTAGTATGTATTAGCTTTATCTTTCTGTTTAATTTTTTTAAAAAAAATTATCAAAAAATAGAAGGAGTTGAGAAACATCAAGACAGAAACACTATTAAACAGAAGTACACACTAAAATTCAATGTTAGCCACCAGTTAGTTATCAGCAATACTTTGAAAAAATATGTACTGGTATAATATTTAAAGATCTGGGATGAGACAGAATATGAGAAATAGTCATCATCATATAGGACAATTTTTATCTTTATCTTTACTTTTATCAGTCTAGGTTCATGTTGCTTTAGTAATATAATATGTAGTATGTGTAACTTGATGGATTCATAAAATCATCAGTTTGCATAATAAATTTAGAAGTATAGCCCCAGAATTTTGACCATTTATAGTTTTATTGTTACTGAGTAACAGGGATTCCACCTTTTTTCCTACCGGTTCTATCTTCTTACTTGATAGCACGCTTTGCACGCACATGCAGCACTCAAAAATCACCCTCTGTGTCAGCGCTAGTGCGGCGAGCTGTTTTTTTAGCTCAGCTGACGCACAGCAATCCACTCTGCTGCGCGAATCAACTGAGCTAAAAACCAAGGGAATATAGGACAGGAAAGGGCGGGGACGGGTGGGCAGGGCCAGCCAGAGGTGGCATTTGCCGGTTCTCCAAACTATTCAAAATTTATCCTACCGGTATGCCAGAACCAGTCCAAACCTGAATACCACCTCTGCTAAGTATCATTAACCTGTATGGCTCCCTGCCTAAGCTTAGACCACTTCTCTGGAGACCAGCAGCTCCCCCCCCCCCACACCTATTAACAAATATCTGATTCTATGATTTCTGTAAAATGTCTGCAACACTTTAGGTTTTCATTTAATCTTTTGACAATATATATATACCTGCTATATAATATAGGATTTATGTTGTACAACAGCAATTTAAGAGTATTTTTATTAGAGATAAAACATTTCAGAATCTGAAGCCTGATACTCAGTATATTATATCAGTATAATTTACAAGCCAGTGTTCTGTCACTTTCTTAGATCTATGAAAACTTTCAAGCAATAGAAAGAAAAGAGAACTGATAGCAAATTTGATGAAGTTAATAAATTGTTCTGTTGGAAAACATTTATGTACACAGTTGTAGCAGCTGCCCTCTAAGACAGCAGCATCCCTTCTTCCCTGATGACCTTTGGAAAGTCAGTGAAAATCTGGCTGTTCTTTCAGGCCTGGGGGAAGAATGGTGGTTGAGCCCTTCCAAAATGCATTATTGAATCATCTGGAGTTGGGAAGCCTCTAAATGTTAGCAAGTAAAATATAATACATAAAAATAGATAGATACACACATCCAGTGGTAGGTTCAAGGAAAGCAGGTTGGCACAGAAGAGATAGATAACCCTATGTATCTTCCTTTTTCACCCATTTTTTGACAAAGATCTTTTTAATGTATTACTTGCTGCCAGCACGAATAGTACTTAAGGAACTGTTCCTCAATTGTGTTGTATGGAAAATTTACATTATGTTTTTATGAGGCAATGTTCTGTTTTTATCAGACTTCAATCTCTCATTATGCACATCAATTTGTAGCCTTATGCTAAGAATACTAATCCCTTTCAGTGGTGAAGACACTTATGCAATCCAATGATTCTATTTACATTCCCAGAAAGAGACCCCTGATGGAGAACACACTGATGATTGGACTAAATATAATTCACTGGAGAACAAAGCAACACTTATCAGGAAGCTAAGTCTTAAATATTTTGGAAACATAGTTAGAAACTGATCTTTGGAGAAAATGCTAAACAATCAAGATCATGGTTAATAACGTCCATCAGGTCATGAGGAATCAGAAAACATTAATTATTAAACTATAATAGTAAAGTATATCATGAAAGTATGGTTAGTCTTAACATTAATGAAACAAGTTTGGTTGTTCTATAAGGTATTCTGTAATAAACATTTAGAGGGATACAGGATTTCCAGAAGAATGGGAAAGCAGGAAAATATTTTAGGAATTCCCTAACGAAATGCTCATAATTCAGATAGCTTTACCCTTCAAAAATATATTAAGAAGGATAGAGAGGTGCCTACGATCACAACTGAGACAAGAATTTGCTTTGCAAAGCAAGGCAGTTATTAACAGAGTCATGTCCAATTTTATGACCTTTTTTGCTGCAATTGTTAGATGAATCACCACAATGGATGTTAAGCAAGCCAGGCTTCTCCCAGTGATTTTGCTTGTCAAAAGCCCGCTAGGCAAAGCGCAAATAATGATCATGTGATTCCAGGACAGTGTATGTATCACAGATACATTCCAGTTATCAAATGCCTGAATTTTTATCTTGTGACCATGAGGAATGCTGTGACACCTGTGAGGACCAGTTTTTTGGCACCACTGTAACTTTGAACCATCATTAAACAAATAGTTATAAGTCAATGACTACTTGTTTAGCCATGGCTTTAATGAACTACTGGCAACTATTTAACTTGTTGCTTTCTGTGTTTAAAACCCAAAGCGTAGGAGTCATTTGAGAATGTTAATAAATACCTGGGTGTACTGCCTGTCACACTTCTTTCACTTGATGATGTTGATACTGGTCTTTCTTCCACTTTTATATTTAGAGTCTCTTTTGTAGTACTATGAGGTTCTTGCTTTTCTTCTTCCGTTTTCTTTTTTTCACTGTCACTGTCATCACTACCTTCTCCTAAAATATCATCAACCTGTGAAGGTATATTAGTTGGGAGTGAAAAAGAATTCAGGAAAAAAAATGAAAACACTAATTTAAATAACATTTTAAACGATGTCTTTTCAATTTGGATATTCAAAATGTGACATTTGCATGTTTGATTTGATTTAATCTCAATGAAAAGCACTACATGATTTTTTTTTTCATTTAAAGCTTTAATTAAATAAAAGTATGAAAACTTTTCTATGACAAAGGTAGACAAAGCAAAAATACTCATGGTCTTGTTTATGCGTGATTTTTTTCAATAATTGAAGAGACCATCTCAAAAACTTCACAAGGGACAAAGATTATTAGCACAGGATAGAAAAGAACTATGTGTATTTGAAAATCATGTCCACTTTTTTTACATCACTTGATGAAGTTTGAGATATGAAACTAAGAAAATTCTAAAAGAAAATCTTCTGTACTCCTAATGGCTATGGAATCAGAAAGCTGGACTTTATATTTCCAAAAATAGGGAATGAATCATTTGAATTAGTCCAAGGTAATAAACAGCTCAGCATTTGCATCACTACCATTTATATGTTGTTTTCACATTTCATCACAGAGTCATATTTTATGTCAACCCTGAAATGAACCATTTTTCTGTTTAATTTATAACTTTTTTCTGTACAGTGTATTATTTACACCTTATTAAAAGGTTCTGGAGAATCCATACCTTTACAAAATTCTGTGGCCTTGACTTTACCTAAAACTACTCTAATATAAATTTTAGAATAAATACAAAATATGTGTATGCAGGATTGATCTATTGAAGCTAAAATTTGTATTTAGATATTATAGCTGGTGTTCCACATATTTGATGCACAGCTACATATAATATTCATTTTTAAAAAATTAAATAATTGATATTCATGAGCTCTCATTTACCAAAATAGTAATTGTTATACGTCTTTTACACCCTCATTTACAATAGCAAAGATACTTCTCTAAAGTTCAAAATAACCATTGTTTAGAATAAGTTCTGCTAAGAAGACAATGAAAAAAAATGATGTAACTCATTAAAGTGGATGAAACACAATAAATATATTATTACTCCTATTAAATAAATGGAAACGAAAGAAGTTATCTTTGAACTTAACTGTCATTTTCTCATCCTGGGGCATGTTAATAAAAGGAAGTCCAAAAGGAAGTACCTAGCCAAAATGATGGCCTGTTTATACATTAATAATTTTTTAAAATTTAATGAACAATTATTTTAGCTTACCTCTTTATCCATACTTTCTAAATCCTCCTTGCACAGAGTATAAAGTGGCATAGTCTCAGACATACTTGGCTGGCGCTTCCTCCTGGATGGGCCAGGCTCCTCATTTTCACTTGCCGGAACCTCTTCTTCATCAAAAAGCTGCTGATGTGGTTGAACGGCTCTGAAAATTCAGACGTCCTTATTAAATGTGTTATGATTGGAACTGAATAAAATGCCAGTTTTGGCATGATATAAAGAAGCATTTCAAAATCCGTACAATGGAAAAATGTATTATTAATCATGTTGCTCAGTTTGGAATTTCCTGTGATAATTCAAAGAATTCTAAAGGAAGTATCAATTAGAATACCCTCCCAGCTCCCCTCTTGCCAGGATCAAGATAAAAGATTAGGAAGCTTTCCACCACTGAAAGAACTTAAAAAACAAAAAGAGAATTCAGAACAAAGAACTTCAAAGTGTGTGTATGTTTTAAAAGCGCTTTGTGTACTTATAATTTTATTTGGAAGATACTGATTCATACTCCAAGGTAATATTATTAAAATAGAAATTGTGTTTAGAAGTGTGAGGTTTTGCTACTAAAATTAAAAATATAAAACAAGTCAGTTTAGCAAAGTACATCAAAGTTTTTAATTAACTGTTGCCATAGCTCTCATACCTTTAAAATAACATCTATTATGTCACAAATACTCATCAGACTCTGTAAAATATAACAATGCTTATCTGTATTTCTCCGCAACTTTTATAATTTCCTTTCTGGCAATTACAGGAAAGAGTAAGAAATTATATTATCCTATGTAACAGATTCACAGTCATAATTGGATACTTTAAACTGAAAACAAGATGTACAGAAATTTGAAATTCTTATAAAGATATTGCAAATACTTTATTAAATATTAAAAATGGCATTACACTGCTTTTCAGTTTTTTTTAATAAAGTGCTGCTTGAAAAAATAAAATATATAAATATAATATGAATTATTTATTTCCATGTTAAATATAACAGAAAAGAGGAAAGTCATATATTTATGTACCTGAATAAAGAATGCTCCCCATGGACTGGTAAAGTGAGAGGTGGAGCTGGTGCTTGAATATACGGAGACTGGTTGGAATTCTGAGATCCTTTCCTAATTAGTTTTCCAGTATTGGGATCATAAAGTCGAACTTCAGGCCCAGGCTGACACTTTGGATGAATGGGAGTTGGATGAAAAAGAGCAGTCTGGAAAGCACTAGGGATATCTGGAAACATGGCAGGACTGTTTTCTCTGTTAGATTAAATATTTAAAACACTGTTAGCAATAGGCTTTTCCTGTTTCCTTCTTTGAAAATGATATATAAAATATAAAAAGAAAATCACCTGCATTTTAATAAAATAATTGGTCTCGAGAGTATAAATATGTATAAGAACCAATGTGAAAGCCACATAAAAACAAAATGGGTAATTATTTCACTTCCATCTCAGGTTTTTAAAACACCAACTGTGAGAACACACTTATATAATGTATGGCTAATTTCAGAAAAGATACTGAATCGAACAAATAAGTTATTCAAAAATAGGAAAGACAAAAAGTATACAAAAAAGAAACTCAGCTAGTATTCACTACTTCTTTTACTGTCATATTATTAGGCCGACTACAACCATAACCAATACAGAAATTTGCACATAAAACGTTCTCATTTTGTACAAAGTTTTTGATATTTGTAGAATAACTAAAAACAACAGTCGTTTCTGTAAGAGTTCAATATAATTTATTGGATTTTAATCAGAATGCATCAAAACAAAATCTATTATTTATATGGAATAAGACCAATGTTTATTGGGCAAAAATCAAAGTACAGAACCTCTCTCCAAGAGCTAAGTGGGATCAGTGGCTTGCTGGAACAACACTGCACTTTAAGCACTGCCCTAGGAATAGTTAATGGTGGTGCAGTAATTAAAGTGCAGTATTGCAGGCAAAACTCTGCCCACAGCCTGGAATTCGATCCTGATGGGGCTCAAGGTTGACCCATCCTTCTGCTGTTGGTAAAATGAGGATCCAGATTGTCTGGGACAACATGCAAATAATGCTTACATTGTAAACCACCCAGAGAGGGCTGTAAAATGCTACGTGGCACTATATAGGTCTAAATGCTATTGCTATATTACCCAGTGCTCTGGTTCCCTGATCCCCTAGATCAATATGTAGCTCTTGCTTATTTCTATAAAGTTCATCTTCCTTCTTCTTCACACCACTATTTATTAGATTAGTATACATAGGATGTATGCATAGGATGCCTGTAGGCCTAGCCTAATCGCAATAATTCTCAATCCACTCAATAGTGAATCCTTCATTTATTAACTATAGGTAGTTTTCAACTTACAACCAATTGCTTAATGAGCATTTGAAGTCAGGATAGATTCAAAAAAAGATCCCTCCTCTAAATTACAACTGTTGTTCTACCCCACAGTTATGATTGTAATTTGGCTACTTGGCAATCAGTTCGCATTTACAACAGGTCGCAGCATCCCATAGTCATGTGATCATGTTTTGCAACAGTTTTTGCCATTTTTCAGCAAAAAGCCCATTGGATAAGATGGACTCACAACCATTGGATTCATTTAATAACTGTGACTTGCTTAATGACCATCAAAGAAATATAAAATTATTTATAACTCCATAGCTTTATTATAGTTTTTATAAACGATATACTTTCTAGGAAAAGAATTTTATAGTTATAGAGTTATAACTAAAACTTTCTAACTATAAAATTAAGTCCAGTCATGTGGTAACTGACATGTCCACAAGAAATTATGACCAAATTCTGGACTCAATTGTAGTTTTAAATTGAGGACTATTTGTAACCATTCTAGACAGATTTGCCTGAAATTCCATTAAAAACAATCCATTCCCAGAAGCTGCATAAGTTCTTTGACTCTCATTGTCTTAATTTCCCAACCATTCTCTCACTTGAAGGGAAGCTTCCTTCTAAGGCTGAGGAACATAAGTCAACTCAGTAAGGTCTATTCTTCAAGTCCAGCCGATCTTGCAATAAATGACTTTTAGAATGTCCACATCCCCAACATTGCCTCTTCTTATGACAACTTGTTCTTTGTTATGTTACAGGTTACATAAGAGGAATAAAAGTATAGAGTTTTGCAGCACCCTATAATGAGGACTTTAGATTCTTTTCCATACCAATACCAATTGAAGCTATTTCTGGAAGGAGCACTACTGCAATACAATATCCCCACATGTAACTTCCAGAGGTATTACAGAAAGGCACTATGAAGGATGCTATCAAAGGCTGAGAGGAAATATGTCCAGAAGAACTATACTTCTTTCCTGGCATATCATACTGACCCACCTACCCAAGGTAGTTTCACTTATCTTGATTCCAAAATGAAATGGATCCAGATACTCTGTTTTCTCTAAGAACCCCCATATATTTAGGTCAAGATTCTGTTAATGTAGCTTTACAATAAAATAGTTTTAGCTCATCTAGTCGTGTTTCCTGTCTGGGAGGGTTAACATCAATCTTGCAAATCTGAAAATATAAAATTTCCACTGCCAGTTTTAACTGCTTTATCCATTTGGACTAGTCTTTTCTAAGTTTCTTGAATTTCTACTGGAGACTCCCGTCTTTCGTCTGATTGTTTCCTTTCTTCAAGGTCATTCTCACATTCCCTTAGAAGCTTTAGAGATTTTTCTCTAATACCTTTTCTGAAGGAGGGACATTAATTTTTAAACACAAGCAAGTCACACATAAACAACAGAATCTCTATATAATCAATTATTACTTTTTACCTTTGTGTTTTGAAGTAATCCTCCTTCAAAGGAAACAGTTGTTCTTCTACTTTGTCCCATCGTTCCAAGCAGCACCATAACCAATCTGGATTTACAATATGAAGATTTTTACAGTTCTGAGCTTGCCGGATTTTTTCTGTGCCTATTTAAGCAACCAAATGTGAGTATTTGGGAAATAAAATGTTTGTGGTAAATCAATTCTGGTTACACTTTCCACATACCCAAGTCCTACTAAACTTAGCAGTTAAAATAATGTATATGAACAATACTGATTTCAATTGTTTCAATGTTTGTAACTTTCTGAGATTCGTCTTATAATTTGCTTCAATAAGGATTTGTTGTACTTCAGTTATGATGGCAAAATTGAGTTTCAGATGTATTATGTTTTATGAAAATAAAAATTTAATTTTAATTTAACTCAGTGCAAAAGGAGTACATAGCTATATAATTTTACTGACGGATCTAATTAATACAACAAAGGAAAAGCATGACGGCTACCCAGGAGAGACTCATTCTTCAAATTCAAAGTAATTTTATTTTCTATTTACCTGCTCTGGCTGCAATAAGGTGGGTTGGCTTATTGGGGTCATCTTCATTCAATACAAGAGTTTTTGTAATCTTAGCTCCAAGTGCAATAGCATGATAATGCTCCCGTGTTTTTTCTATAGGAAAATTTGTAGGGTATAATCCACTAAATAATATAGTAACATCTGACAAAACTTTTTGTTTCAGTTCTGGCACTATTTTTCGTATATCTGGAAGTTCATCTGTTTCTTTTCTGACATATTTATCATACTTGGAATAATAATCTGTATGCACTCTGACAAGAATTTCTTCAAGGTATATTAAATGGTCATCATGATCTGTGTCATCATCTTCTTCTTCTTCCATACTTTGATCTAAAGATTCTCCTACAGTTATGCCAGATTGTTCACTATTTTGAGACTCTGTCTCAGCTTCTTTCTTGTCTACACAACCATTTCCTAGACTACAAAGGCTATCTTGTTCAATTTCTTCACGTGTTTCCAAATCCAAAGCTTTGGCATGTGTATTAACAGTAAGTGAAGGTACAGAGTCTCCAGAATGGTTCAACTGTCCATCTTTTTCTAAATTTGTATTGTTTTCCTGCAGATGTACACCCTTTTCTTCCTGCACAGAATGCTTTGACTTTTTCCAGCTTCTTTTCCCTTCATTTTCACTATCAGAGGCAGAAGAAGATAAAGATTTTTTAGCTTCCAGGCCACTATCACTTTCACTATCACTAGACAACTCGAAGTCCAAATAATTGGCTGTTTTGTCTTGAATCTGCTGCTTGCCTGTTTTCCTGTTTTCCTGATCTGAAGGTACACAAGATTCCTTGGCGCTCATCTGATTATTTGTATTAGGAACATTTGTTATCTGATCAGAATCACACAAAGAGTCTGTTGTTCCTTTATTGTTAGAATTCAAATCACATGGTGAAGTCTCACTGCTGACAGAATTATTGCCATTTACTTCTTTTGTAGATTTTTTAATGCCATTGCTCTGTTCTTCCACATTTCCAGTGTTCCTCATTTCTTCAGAATCTTTTATTACTGCTGCTGGATCAGCTGCATCCATTAATTTTGAGGAATGATTTGCTAAATTAAATATACAATATGAATTAAATTCAAATTCAACTTACACAAGTAAGTCAATCAAAGAATATAAATTATCCAATTAAATACATTGCATCTTTATTTAAGGCAAAAACCTGGGCCTGCATGATTTTTGCAATAATCATATAAGGAATACAAAAAACACCCCATGGAAATTAGTTAATGACATTCCCCCTTCCCTACCCCTATCCATGGGGAGGGAAAGAAGCCGAGCCAATTATATTTTGATGTTGCACAGAGATTTAATTGATTCAGGGTTAAAAACAGTATTATTCATGGCTACACAAAATAGTGAAAAGCACATTATTTCATCTTCAGTTACAAGATTATATCTCTATTTAAAATTCATACAATTAGAATGTATTATCTCCCTGAGTACAAAAGAGGTCAAGGAGATTATCCCATTTATATCATTTTCTTAACTGAAGTATACCAGCTGGATAGTGTGAATTCTATTAGAACAGAGGTGTCAAACTCGATTTCATTGAAAGCCGCATCAGGATTGTATTTTACCTCGGAGGGCCAGAGTGGGCGTGGCCAGAGTGGGTGTGGTCAGCTCGACATCACTCTTGTCAGGGGTGCCTGTCCCTCTGCCAGAGAAAACAGGCTCCTGAGCTCTGTTTTCGGCTACAACGGCCTCCTGTAACCCTCTACCAATGAAAACAGAGCTCAAGAGGGCTGTGTGCAGCCCACCTGAGTTCTGTTTTTGCTGGCAGAGGCACCGCAGGCCAGTCTTTTGCCGTTTCCAGGATGGCCCTGTGGGCCAGATCTAATCACCCCGGGGGCCAGATCTGGCCCCCGGGCCGATGTGCTTCAGCATAATGACATAGTTCATTGAAAAAAATATAATTGTATATTTCTGTTTCTACATATTTAGATGTCCATTTTCATAAATGTCACCTATAGCCTGGACTAACTCTCTTTTGTCTTACTTTTCATAAGAGATAAACAGCAGAGAGAACATTCTCGGCATGTAATTAGAGGCAGGGAGAACATTATACCCTTATTTTTCAGCCATCATGTAAAGAGCGCTTATGAATGTACAACAGCACAAGTGGGGGGGCATACATAAGAAGTGTGTAACTGGCTCTATCTGCTGTTATTCACCAGTCTGCTTTAATTAAGTCCAATTTGTAATAAAGCACATTTAGTCCTACTGTCACTGGCTAGGTTCAAACAATGCACTGTGCTCGTTGGGCTTTTATTTGGCTAAGCACAACATATACATCCAACCATTGTGGTTTATAAATCACAGTTTATATCTTACTTTTGTCTACAAGACAAACCACTGTCAATTATGGATAAATTATAGTTCAACACAATGTGTGAGCTATTCAGAGAAGCACCTATGGTGGTTATTAATTCTTTTTCAAGTTGAGGTGCCTAATTTGGACCTGCTTGAGCCAGATTAATTAGCTGGTTACAGATTAGATGACAGACAAGTTATTATGTATTCTTAGAACAACTTTCTTTCTCTCACTTCTACTTTTAAAGTTGCAAGTAGTAGGACAAAAGAATCCAGGCTGAGGACATACCACAGAAAAATACTTCATTTCTTTCTCACTATATCGATTTATTTCTGTTAAAAATCTATCCTAATATTGTTGAAAAAGCTCACATATAATTACAATGCAAAATTATTCTTAAAAGGAGGCAGCTTTTAAAATATAGTTGATAAGTGTAAGTTACCTTATACTAGCATTGATGACTTCCCATCCAATAAAAACCATTTCTACATATCAATTTCTAGCAATCTTGTAATCATTTAAAAAATGATTATAGATGTCTGCTAAATGTATAATAGAAAAATTTGATTCTATTGGATTTCAAACACTGTCTTAGATTAGTTAATAGTTTGCTTAAACAAAGGTAAAGACAATTGTCTTTGTATGATGCAAATATCGAAAATTAGAACATAGTTTCACACTAATGTGTATATTGGACAGTTACCTTTCTTTCTCATTTGAGCTTCCTTTGAGCCAGGTGGTGCATTAATATCACCTATACCCTGAAAATATACATATTTCTTCACAGTGATCAAATTAGGTGCAAATTTCCAAACATCTTCTCTGTCATCAATAATGCAAACCATGGAATCCCCACAAGGAAATAAGTTCCTACAACCAGGGAACAAAATTAATTTATTTTGATTATCTACTTTTAGATAACTCTAAAATAATTACTAGTAGGTTGTGACAAGTTGACAGAAGCATATAAGCAAACATTCATTTCTTTTAGGTTCATCTGACATTCAGTTCTACCACCAACTAACTGGTCAAGTATGATCCTCTGTTGCCTAAAGCAACCAGTAAGTAGGTACAGAAGGAATTCCATCTCGGATGAAGATAAAAACAGATATGATTTTGCTTAGTGGATACTTTAGCTTAATTACTGAAGAAGGGGCAGCAAGAGAAAAAGTCAGAGTTGACAAAAAACAAAGTTCATGCAATATAGTCTAGAAAAAGCAACGGCAAGATCCTGACAGTCTAAATAAAATGCACAGATGTTAGTAAGGTAGAACATGCATCAATTATAATTTTTGTTATACACTATTCAATTTTAATAAAAGAGTTAAAAAATCAACACAACAAACAAAACCAGAATTATTCTCATGATAAATGTAGATGACCAGCTGAGCCCAAGGAAGGAGTCTGGTGCATCATCGGTATGGAGGCCACAAGAACTCTAAAGTCCAGCCCTTTTTGAATTCCACTGACTCTTATCTATTGCCAATCTGCCTTGACTGTTTTAAGAATTCATATAAATTGGTACTCATTTTTGTTACCGAAGTATAACTTAGAAAGAAATACACAAAATAAAGCTTAGGACAAATGATTTTTCTAACATATAGAGATACAAACACAGCATTCAATTTAGCTATTACAAATCTTTCTTTTCAGTCAAAGTTGACAGAAATACTTGTGCATGTAGCTGAAATGTAAGTATACTTGTATACTTAAATACTTGTAATATTTAATTTATTTTTATCCGTTATTTCCACCAGTGTATTTTGTATATTTATTCCATAAACAACAGTCTACTCACAATACATACCTAAGGTTGCCAGTTTTTGAATATGGATCAATACATTCATCCCTCGACAATATTCGATGAGAAAAAAGCTTCTTTTCAGAGTCCAAAAATGCTTTTAAAGGGGGAAAAAAAGCCTGAAATTAATTTTTCCAGTATTAATACATTTTCTGCAGGGATTTGTATACTATGTATTTGTTTTCTAGATTATTATAAATTACACACATATATTTTCATGTGGGTTTTCCTATTAAATTCCAAAATATATTTATGTACTAATAATGCTGCAAATTAACTCAATGTCTCTAATTGAAGAATTGGTATATACATTAAATATATTACTATATATATATTAATGTATATTGGTATATACATTAAATATATATAAAAATAGAGATAATACATTAGAACATTCTGGAATAAATAATAGTAAAGAAAATATTTTGAAGCCGGTATACTATTTTATATATTCTTACTTGAAATTTAAACTAGAACATATGGTTTTCAACATCGTATCATTTTGTTAATATTAACAAGATACCCCACCTTGATTACTCCTATATTTTCATTGCAAGTCTCAGGATTGAAGTCTCATAAATGTCTCTCATTTATCAACAGGATGTCTCAAGTGTTGATAAATGTTTTGGTGCTTTTAGGCAAAGCACTAAAGATGTGCTGTAATGCTTAAGCAAAGTGGGCAAGATAAAGAAAACGTTTCAATAGAAATTTCTTGCAGTTGCAGGTTTAAGTTATACTTCTAACACTTGTGTATAAATACTGTATAGCTATCCTTGTAATAGTATTGGGTTTTTTTTAATGTAATTGTGTTGTCTAGTTTGTGGTATATAAAAATCAGTTTTATCAAAGCTTTATCAGAATTTTTGATCTGGGAAAAACCATCTTATGCATCTCTTGGTTTTGCCATTTGCCTAGTAGTGTAAAATATTTAGCACCTGATAAATGATATATCAGATAGGCAATACCCAGCTTGGCTGGTTATATAATACTTATACTCTAGAGATAATCAATACAAACTTGCTTTTTTAAAGCAGATATTTAAAAAAATACTTTAAAGTTTTGACCATAATTGTCTAAATTCGATGTTTAAACATGACTGGTGATTCAAGAAGTAATGCACTTAGATCTAGTATCTATTGGCAACTACACAGAATTTTCTATAAGTTAGAAAACTTTTAGCAAAACACCTCCATATCACTGGTCAATCATTAGAATTGATACATGTAGGCCAAAATGACTGCATCTTAAAGTAATAACTTAAAACCCACAAAAGCAAGAAAATGTGAGAGTTAAGGATAGAAATTCAACCTTAACTCACCCGCATTTGCTTAAGAATTTCAGCAAATTCATGTAGAATCATCCCTGTTGTGAGACCCCTGTAGTACCTAGGCATAACGAATTGAAAATATTAGCTAAAGAGAATCATCACCAGATAAACTTTAGAAAAATGAATAGTTATTGAAGTGAAACAAGCCACTTAACTTGGAAAACAAAAGGACATAAATATTTTAAAATAAAATACATTTCAATAAATTAAACCAAGACATAGTCAATTATTTTTCCAGATCTGTACCTACATAAGAAACACATTCTGACTAGATTAATAGCATATATCTAGCCAAATTTTTCTTATATATACACAGGCTTTCTCACAACTGACTATTACCTCATGAAGACAAGGCAAGACATACTGAAACAGAAATAGAAATAGAAATTTGTTTCTCAATGTCATCTTTTTTGGAGCTTAATTATAATTTCCTAGTCGGTATGAATTAATATATGCATACTTAAGTACATTTAAACCAAAGGAACAACATGACAATCAAACAATATACTCTTATATAGTTTGACATGAAACCATCTGCTCAAAAGGACAGTTTAGTCATGCTTTCCTTTATGAAGAATTATAAATACAGAAACAGTCAGAAAATTGTTTCTCTTTCATTCTTATAAAAATGTATCTAAAAGATGGCAGGATTAAAGTCCTAAATAACCTAAATCCTGGCAAGCTAATGAAGGATAATGTGTGTGTTCTCTGTGTGTGTATGTGTGTGCGGGTACGTGTGCAGTCTCAATCTGCAATTTATAGAATATAATTAGACTTTAACTCAACCTAGAGCAGTCATATATCTTTTAACAGGCACTTGTCAATAGTCTTCAATGCAGCATTCAAGAAGAGCTAGTGTCACCAAATATTTTTCAAAGGTAGCTCATGTAGAGTGCAAATCCATGTAATATATATTCTAGGCATATGTAGGAAATTCAAAAGCACATCCAAACTATGACTCAGGCTCTTTACAATAGCCATTCTCAATCTGCATTTTATCTATAGTTTTAACTACAATTCTCAACATTTTCTAAAAAAGAGCTGAGAACTAGAGAGCATTTAGGTTGTGGATGTTTATTTTAGAGGCAATTTGATTGAAAGCCAGTGTGGTATAATGGTAAAAGCATCTGGCTAGAAAGCGAGAGACCATGAGTTCTAGTCTCATTTTAGAGACCAATCTGAGCCCAAACTTCACAGGGTTGTTGTTGTTGTGGGGAAAAGAGGAAGGAAGAGGTATTATGTATGTTAACTGCCTTGAGTTTGAGTTGTTTAAAGAAATAATAAAGGTAGGATATATATTAAATAAATAAATATAATCCCAATCAGTGCAAGTTGAATTCTATCATTAATCTGCATTATGACTTATCTGAAACAGTCCTATATAATTTGGATAAAGCCTTAACTTGTTAATCCTCATCCAATCTACCATTTTAGGGTCTCATTTAGAAAATTCTTAGGTTTTGATAGAAAAGAGAGCAAAAGCTATACATTAGCATAATAGTGCCACTAAACTCCCAACTCTGGACAACTTCTCCCATAGCTTTATGTATGTAAATACTAGGTATGGAAAAGAAACTTTGAAGAGTTCAGACCAACATCTACTATATTGAAAACATGCTGAATGTATAAATGGGTAAATGAAAGAACAACCACTTGAAACAGCCTAGTCATAAAAATCAAAATCCCTGTAAAATGTCTCTTTCCATGCTCAAGTCACTAATAAAACCAGAAAATTATCAAGCCCCTGCCATGATCATACATCAAGAAAAACAATTCTCTTCATTTTGCAACAAAGTGTAACATGAAAATGAAATGCATATGGATAATCCAAAACATCCAAAAGTAACTGCGGTTGGGATAAATAGATAAAATGGATTGGATCTTATCCAACACAATACAGTGCAAAAGTAAATTTTTAAATCAAGTTCTGTTAGTTCTTTGTGATATAAATAAATCACACACTACTAAGCCTTGGAATATTAAAACAGACATTATATAAGCAAACAAAAAGCAATCTAATCCCCCCTCAATATCCTATATATATTTAGATTTTAAAAAAAAAATAATTAAAAAAATAGAATTCAATTCCTGTTGACTGAATCCAGTCTCCTTGTCAGCTTTACTGAAATATTTTGCTACTGCCTTCTTCTGGAATTAAAAAAAATTACAGCAGATATTAGTTTGTATTTCTGAAAGACAAAAAAATTGTATACCCCAAAATAAACATCCGATTGAGATATGTGGTTGCTTGAAGAATTATTTTATTAGAATTATAATTGATATTGCTTAGTATAGGTGGCACGTTCGCATTTGGTAAAGTAGGGAAAGTTGTCATCCTCTTAATTATGGTGAATTACAACTTTCAACAATTCTACATAATCAGCATAATGAGGAACCTGGAGACTAATTTAGTAATATATGGAGATCTGCAAGAACATTGTTGTTTTATAGACATATTTTTAACAAAGGCATTTCCTTAATATATCCTTCTTTGCACTTTAGATTATTATGGCATCCTACTATGAAGACACCCTAACCCTAACCCTTTATTAAAGGGAATTCAATATGTTTCAGAAGAGCTTCCTAATAAACTACTGCAGTTTCTGTTTATATAAATATATTGTATATGTACTCACATATTAAATAATTTCCCATAGCTACTTACAACAATTTTGTAAGATATGAAACTGAAAGCAGAAATGTTTCTTTCCTGACAAATTTTAAGTATTGGGTACATATGTAAAATTTAAGAAACATTACTTTAGGCACAGATTTAAAATATGTTTTTGTCAAAGTGAAAAATGTCCTATTTGATTTTAATGTAGAACAAAAGTACTTTTAAAAATTAAAGCAGCATCCGTTAAATATGTTTTTTAAATATCATACATTTAGCTGCAAAATGCTGCCACCTAGAGCTTAAATTAAATATGATCTGCTATATATGTATCTATGAAAAAAATTCAAAAATTATCACAAAATCTAGAGTTGGAAATAACCTTAAGAGTATATTCCAACCTCTTACTCAGTGCAGAATCCAGCTGTGCGTGCATCTAACAGATGACCATCCAGCCTGTTTGAAGACCTCTGGAAAAGGACAACTCATCATTTTGCATGGCAGCTATACAAACTGACAGCTATATATCAGGAGGCTCTTCTTGACACCTATCCTGAATCTAATTCCCGTAGCTTTCAACTATTAGTTTGATCCTGCTGACTGGGATAATAGAGAATAAGCTGACTCCATCTACTGTATAAGAACTCTTTAAAGCAGGGGTGTCCAACCTTTCACCTTCCCTGGGCCACATTTGAAGATGAAAATTTGGTTTGGGCCGCACATAAAATAAAATAACAGTAACAATACCTGATCATCCAAAAAAAAAAAAAATAGAAAACACAGTTAATATATTATATTTATTTGGAAATAAAGTTAGTGAGATGTTTTTAGTATTTTTTATCGCGGTTTTTTTATCACATTTTTTTTATCACGGTTTATTTTCTGGCCAAATTTTGCGGGGGGGGAGGGGAGGGAAGAAAGCTTGCCCGCCTCGCGCCTACCTCTCCTCCTGCAAATGGCCCGGCTGGAAGCGGCAGGACTGGAAGGCAGAAGCGGCGGCGGCAAAAGCAGCGGTGGCGGCGGGGGCAGAAGCAGCAGCGGCGGCGGGGGCAGACGCAGCAGTGGCGGCAGAAGCAGCAGCAGAAGCAGCGGCGGCAGGGGCAGAAGCGGCGAGGGCAGAAGCAGCGGCGGGGGCAGAAGCGGCAGGGGTGGGGGC